CGTGCGCTGCGTGCCCCCCACAGGGACATCCCACCGACCGCCAGGTCCCACCATCAGGGTGGGCCTCCTGGAGACCCACAGGAAGAGGATGAACATGACGCACCTACAAAGGGAGTACAGCCTGAGCAGCACTCCCAGCCTTGCCAACACACCGCACTGGGGCAGAGCCCAGCAACCCCCCACCCTGGTGCTCACTCCCACTGGAGGATGAAGGTCCTCTGGAAGTCCCTAACTGCAGCCACCCTCATCAAGTCCTCCAGGCCTGGTAAGAACGTGTTTGGATGCCCTTGCCAGGGGAATTGATGTGCTGGAGGGTGCATCCCATGGTCCCCAGTCCCTGGCACTGCTCGGCTCCCCAGGGACCGTGGGGCTGGAATCACACCCTGGGGGCTGGGATCACACCCGCTCACATCCAGCCCTCCTAGAGCCTCCCCCATAACCCAGGCTCTTACTCGGTAGTCGCTGGAGGTCACGTAGAAGATGGGCAGGAAGGCCAGCCAGATGATGCAGGTCGTGTACATGGTGAACCCAATGAACTTGGCCTCATTGAAGTTTTCGGGGCATTTCCGTGTCTTGAAGGCATAGACCGTGCAGAGGACAATCAAGAGGACATTGTAGGTGAGCGATATGAGCATGTTGGAGTCACGGTTGTTGCACTTGAGGGTGACAATGTACCTCTTGTCAGGCTCGGTCTCCTTGCCTGTGCCGGGGGTCTCCACCAGCAGCCAGATAATGACAATGATCAGCTGGCAAGAGATGAGGGCCATGCATATAACAACCTGCGATGTGGGGCTTATGAACCGGGGGCGCTGAACCCCCTCCTTTACCCCGCTGAAGATCCTGGCAATGCGATTTGTCTTGGTCAAGAGGGCTGAATAGCAGACGGCGAAGGACGTGCCCAGCCCCAGGCGCCGGAGCGTGCACACCTCGGTGGAGGGCTTCGCGATGAAGATGAAGGTCATGCTGTAGCACATGAGGACCCCGGTCAGTAGAATGTAGCAGAGCTCCCGGCCAGAGGCCTTCACAATGGGAGTGTCATTGTTCTTCATGAAGACTCCGAAAACGAAGAGGGTGGAGATAAAACCCAGGCAAGAGATAGTGACGGGACCAATGGCCCAGGCGTCCTTCCAGCGGATGGACTCTTGGGGCAACTCGTAGCAGCCGGGGCCAGTAACCAAGACCGCAGTCCATGCAGGTGAACTCATCCAGCAAGTACTCATAGGGCTGGCAGGGGATGCAGATCCAGCAGCATATGTCTCCGGGCTGCATGCTTTTTATCTCGTTCTTCTTGCAGGGGTCACTGCACTGGGACACGGGGATGGAGGTCTCAGCCCACGGGATGAGGCTGGTGTTGAGGATGAGCCCTTCAGCCCAGTAGCCCACCTTCTGATACCGATACCGCCCGTCCGTGCGGTGATAGTTGAAGATGTTGTAGCGCCCGATCCCATCACCGTAGCGGTCAAATCGAACGATGCTCTTGGTGTCTGCTGGCCTGAACGGAGCTGGAAGGAGGAGAAGGGAAGACAGTCATTGCCATGGGGCAGGAGAGTGCTTGTACCCGGCATGGAGACAGGGCTTCTTCAAAGAGTCACATCCCACCACGGCCACCAGCAAACATCCAACCTGTTCCCTGCCTTCACTCTCATACTTGCTGCCTACGCACACATTAGGAGCCGGAAAGAAAAGGTAGAGAACTACTTCCACCATGTGCCTAAGAGCTGGGCAGCCCCAGTCAGCTCTGACAGGGCAAAGCAGGGGGTCTTGCAGCCTTCATGGCTCTTGGTGACACCTGGGTGGGTGGGGAGGGCCCAAAACACAGAGGACACACTTCCAATTCACCCCAAACTATGGGTGTCCTCACTCTTCCCTGCCTCTCCACCCATCCCTTTCCAGTTAGGCAGCCAAACTGCATCTCTGGACTCACCATCAAAATTAACATTGAGTATAAAGTCCTTGTAGAACCTCTTGCCATTGACGGGCTTCATGGCATCGCAGAGCTTGGTGGCATTGGGGCAGAGCGCCCGGTGCATGTTGTGGAGAGAGTGAGCCATGGCATAGACTGCATTGACCACGAACGTGATCTTGGACTCTGGCTCAAACTTGCCTGCCTTGAGGGAGTATCGGCTGCAGTCCTGCGTGTGGAAGCTGCACTTGAACTTCTGCTCCCAAAACTCCCGAAACCAGGGATTTCGACTGTTATTGTAGGGGCTGAGGTTAAGGAAGTAGGCAGCGAACTCCTTAATGGGGTAGGCTGCCAGCTCGATGGTGATGGCTCCCTCGGCCACCGCTTCGCTTCCAGCCACCACACTCTCCAGGGCTCCCCACCCATCACTGGCCACCCATGTGAAGGACACGTTGGCTCTCTGGGCAGCCGCCAGGAGCTCCCGGGCATCTTCACTTCGGGTGAAAAGCACGACCACTCTGGCGTTGGGCTTCTGCAGCAGAGCCCGGACCACCCCGTCGTAGGTCTTCTTGTTCATGGAGCGCCCCACCTTCTCTGAGGTGGCAATGCAGATGTTGCGCATGCGGGCTTCTTGCTCAAAAGCCTCAATCCCTGTCTCCCCATAGTCACCCTCTGAGGCCACAGTGGAGACATAGGTCCAGTTGAAAAAGCGGAGGATCTCCGCCATGGCTTTGGCTTGGTAGAAATCCGGCGGGACGGTGCGGGCAAAGTAGTCGTACCGGGACTTGTCGCTGAGTTTGGCGCTGGTGGAGGCATAGCTGATCTGCGGGATCTGGAAGAGCCGTAGTAGGTTGGCCACCTGCGTGGAGGAGGAGAGGTGAGAGCCTGAAGATGCGGGCCAGCGAGGGACATTCGCCCTGGAGGATGCCTGCCCACCATCAAGTGTTACGTGGTGCT